AATCCATATGCCAACCCCCATTCAGGGTTGGGTGTAACACCAGCACTTCACAAATGTAACCCTTTTCATTGTTTTAGCCCTTGATCTTTTCTGGAGAAGATAAGTGCTGTCCACTCCTTCTCATCGTAAGTCAGCTAGGATGGCTTAAACTGCCTTTACAGTAGTTTTAATGACTCCAGAGTGATCTGTGGTGGAGCAGAAGAGGAGCACTTATGTGATCACAACAAGGGAAAGTGCTGAGACCAGATTCTTAACAGTCCTTGAACAGACTCTTTGTTATAACTCTTAAAGAAATTTTTTAAAAGTCTTTCTGTTCAGCGTGCCACTTGTTAAAAGAATCACAGGATCACTATGGTTGGAAAGGACCTTTAAGATCATTGAGTCCAGCCATTACCTAACTCTGCCAGGCCACTTCTACAACACATCCCTGAGCACCCCATCTAGATGGCTTTTAAATACATCCAGGGATGGGGATTCAACCACTTCCCTGGGAAGCCTGTTCCAGTCCTTGATCTCCCTTTTGGTGTAGAAGTTTCTTATCATCCCCCATCTCTACTGAGACAGCCAACTGTAAGACCCTACCACCACACTGTCCCACAGGTCCTGGCATGCCGCTCCCAAGCTTCTCTCTAGCAAGCCCTGTTTTATCCCCACCACCTCTGAGCCTAGTTTAAAGACCTATCATGAGCCCTGCTAGCTCTTGCTCCAGGATCCTTTTTCCTCTACAAGACAGTTGCACCTCATCTGCTGTCAGCAGTCCTGGTGCCTTGCAAAGCAGGCCAGGATTAAGAACCCAAAGTTCTGCTGATGGTACCAGTCTTGTAGCCAGGCATTGATCTGTTGACTCTTCTTGTTCATCAATCCCTGCAAGCAATGGGATGGATGCAAACACAACCTGCACTCCCAAACCCCTGACCAGACATCCCAGGGCCCTGAAGTCTCTCCTCCTTGCCCTTAGACTTCTTGTTGTTGTTTCATTGCTGCCTGCCGGAATCATTAAGGATTAGTAGTCTGAAGGCCGAACTAGTGCAGGAAGTTTTCTCTGTACGTCTCTAACCCTGGCCCGAGGGAGGCAGCAGATTTCCCTGTGAAGCGGGTCTGCTCTGCATATTGGGCCTTTCACACCCTTCAGAACTGAATCCCTGACAACAAGCACTTGGCTCTCCTTCTTAACTGAAGAAGTTCTAATGTGAGGCATAGTTTGTCTTGACCTCAGTGCCACCTCCATGCTAGGCAATCCATCATTGTTGTAATTATCTGCTTCCCCTTGTAGAGTATCATACCTGTTTTGCAAGGGCACCTGGGGAGGTGGGGCAGACATTGGGCAGACACACCTGGAGCACCTGTTGTGCTGGGAAGAAGCTTCTTGACATTGACTCCTGTCCTCCACATCACCACAGTCAGTCGGGCAGAGAGAAGACAGGGGAAGACCCTCTGTAGCAGGGTCTCTGATTACCTGCTGACTTTCTATCATGGGAGTTGGTACAACACTCAGCATCTGTCTCTCTCTCACATTTCCTGATGGCCCTCAACTTGCTTACCTCCTCCCTGAGGTCCATCACCAAGAACACGAGCTCCTCTACCTGGGTGCAGCTCCCAGGGAGCTGCGAAACTCTTTATTTTTTAAGGTTTTCTTTGTTTCCTCACCAGAGCTTCTATTTACCTATATCTTTTTTATACCACTGATGCTTGAGCTAGTGATTGTGCTTTTCTTTAGGGACTTCTGTGATAGGAGTATTACTAGAATTTAATCTCTCAGGGTTCCCCACAAATTATTAAAATACTGTCTAAGGTAAAATGCACATAAATCTGTGATGTGGCATGTATGTTGCAGGTTGGTTTGTTAGCATTTGAAGAAGCAGTTGAGGTTCTGACAGTAGCTTTAAAAAAGAAGAAAAAAAGACAAAAGGACAGAAATTGAGTCTTATCCATAACTGCTATTTCTTAATACAATAGATTATTTGCTTGTTGTTCAATTAAGAGTTCTCACTGGCTGCTATTTTTGACAGTGAAAAGGAAGAACTGAGAAGAGAAGAAATTATGAAAACACTGGTTATTGGCCTAGGAGGGTAAGTATTAGCAAATTAAATTTCCTCTGCAGCTCTAGACTGGTCTTCCTTTCAGAATGAAATTATGTCACTTCTATTAATGAATGGATATTTTTCAAAAATAGATTGCAAATATGACATACAATTGTCTCATTTTATGGCATGTAACTCTTAAGAAATTGTTCTGTGTTGGAAATCTCAGGTACCATCTCTCTCTAACCTCTTTTTTGGCACTGGTAGAGTTGCTGTCTGAAAGCTGTTGGAACCTGCCAGAAAATTTCTAGAGGTAGAGAGTATTTAATGTAAATAAATTTACATTAAATTGAGGGAGGGGAGGTTGGATTGTGTCTTTGTGTCTAACTACATAGAAATGTGCGTGTGAGCTTGTACATATGTATAAAAGATCAATTTTTGTCTTGATGCAGTTTTTACTGTTTTCTAACTCAGCGTAACAAATGGGGGGAAAACAACACTGGCAGAAAAGCTTAAGAAAATGCTTCCAAACTGTGACACGATATCACAGGATGACTTCTTTAAGGTAACAGTATTTATGGAAATACATAATAGGTAAAAGTAGACTCAAGTAGATGTTAGTATCATTTCGTCTCTTTTCAGCTTTCCTGTTGATAAACTTTTAAAATTGATGCGTCTTAAAATAATGTGAACTTCATGAGAAAGAGAAATAAAGTGAGCACTGGGGTAATTGAGCTTTCACTGGCTAGAAACTCTTGAGTGCACCCAGCAAAAAGAAGTTCACCATCTTTTTTGATAACCTTTTAAGATAATGAAGAGTGTGTTTGGATGCATTTTTCAATATACTGTGTGCTAATGAAGTTAATGGTACCGTGAACCCTACACCCATACAGCAATAAGTGGTTCTTTGTCTCCAAAACCAAAACAGAAAAACAACTTCTGCATTGATGTTGGAGTTGTTTGCAAAGGAGTGTGAAGGAGCTCTTCTTTCTGAAGTAAAGCTCTAATGAACTTAAGAGGTATGATTTGGAGAATTTGTTGTTCTAGATTAAATAAATCATCTGTATTTTACTTTAACAGTTGTATACAGCCGTTTGATTTTGAAGATAAATTAAATAATTGGGATACAAAACCATATAACCCTTATGTTTGTAACTAAGGAGTTTATATTTGTGACAATGGTCATAGAAGCAACCTTGAAAATACTCATGTTTTTTTCCCCTTCAGCCAGAGTCTGAAGTAGAAACAGATGAACGTGGATTTAAGCTATATGATGGTCAGTAATGTCGATGCATTGCTTTTGAACACTGTACTGAAACTCTGTCATGCTGACCTTCAACACTTCTTCCCTTTCGAGCAAGGCAATAAACAAATGGTTGTTTCGGGGAAATCCTTTGCTCAGTTTCTTTCAGCTTGCTGAGATAAATAAGAAAACTTGCTGAACTAGTAAATGGTTCAAGGTATTGCTTGACCTTTCCTTTTCTATTTTTGATCTGTAGCTCTGTTTCTACTGTTGCATCTGGTGCAGTAGCAAATGGCACTATTAAGTGTAAAAGTCTTGGCTTGCAGCACTGGCATAAGCTTAACCTCATCACTTCCTATGTAATGATGGATTTTCTTTTTCCACTTTAATAATGAACTCATTACCACTTGAATCTCTTTCATTGTCATATTCTAAATCAGTCAAAACTTGTGTTTGATCCTGATACCTTTATTTCATGTCAGATCTCACATAGAGACCAAGTGTTTTGAAGCTTATAGGTTATATGCTGGCTCAAGCATGCCAATTTAGTCTCATCAGCTTCTAGATCCAGATGCAGTTAAGGCCAATACTTTGGTCCAGGATATATCTCGTTGTGAACAGTTGCTTATTAGCTAATGACAAAATGTATTACTTAGAATATTGGCCAGGACCTTAAAATCTGTCTGAAAGCTGGCTCTTATCAGCTCTGCAGTCTTTGGCTCAACTTCTAGAGTTCATAAAGCTGGAATGTGAAACTAGAGGGATAAGCTGGACATTGCGGTTCAACAATCTGGGTTTAATGCTGCTCTTAAAAACTCCTCTAAAATGTCTTTTATGTTATCCGAAGGCTTCCTTCCTTCTACCATTCAGTACTTACTCACTGTGTTCTTACATGTCTACAGACAAGAAAAGGTGCTATGTTGTGCCATTTGGCACTGTATGCCCTTCTCCTTCCAATCCATCCATCCCTACCCTCAGGTTATTGTCAAATAACCTGAACCCAACAAAAACCCAAAGAAAAAAATTTTGTGAGCCCACACCCTTCATCTGAGTCAGTGACACCTGACAGAAGGGTGGACGTCTCAGGGTAACTAAGTGTTTACAAGTTTTGTGGTATAGGAGAGCGGGCCCTGCAGTTTTTATCACCAAGGGAAAGGCTGCGAAATTAGTGCACAGACTTTTTGATGCCACGGAGTTCAGAGGGACCACAGCCACCAGAAATACTGCAGTCTTGGGGAAGGCTTTAGTTTAGGGTATCATCAGTTGCAAACACGGAACTACTTATATGTGTAAGAGAGAACTTCTGGGGTAAAACTGTTACTTTTCATTTAGACTAGTGTCTAAATTATTTGGTTCTTATTGATGAATCTAGGGGTACTTAACAATTTTTTAAAGTTTATTCTCTGTTTTTAAGGGGTGTCTAACTTTCTATTTTCATCTAGTACTTGATGCCCTCTATATGGATGAAATGGTGAAAAGTATTCACAACTGGATGAAAAGCCCAGCAAGCTCAGGTGCTGTGACCAAACCACAGAATACACGTGACAACCTGAAAAATACAGATGATGTTCATATTTTGATTGTTGAAGGCTTTCTGCTATACAATTATGAGTAAGCAGTAATACGTAACCTGCTATATTAAAAACTGCCCTAAAAAGGAAGAACGAACTAAATATGTTGTCACCTTAGGCCGCTAAATCAGCTATGGAATAGAAGATATTTTTTGACCCTTCCTTATGAAGAGTGCAAAAGGAGGAGGAGGTAAGATTATGCAGTTATTGCACACAGAGGATCATTGTACCTCCTAACCTGGAGTAGTTCTTTTGTACTAGCTTTCCTTCAGTGCTTGCCAAATATAAGCTATTAAGAGCATCGGTCCTCTGGTGATTCCTAGGGAAGACTGGGTATTTAAACAACACTAACAAAAACATGGAGAGACGTGTGGGTTTGATTTTGGGCATTGGGGTTTTTCTAGGGGGTGTGTGTTGCATTTTAGAGCACAGGGATATTAAAATGTTAAATGTTTTACCAATACTGGACAGAGAATTTGTTGCTGAGAAAAAAATATTTAGATTACTGACTGCATATTAGAGTTAAACCAGGATGAGAAACAGTTAAAAAAAATGCTAAGCAGTCTTACCCCTGGTTGAATACAGCTATGTGTTTATTATTGTTAAAATAACAATGTTCATGGGTGGGTTTTGTGTACATTTTGTTTAGACTGTGCGTTAGTGTCACTGCATATCTGATTTAGATTGTTGAGCCAGTGTCTGACGTGGAGCAATACTGTGTGCTTGGAGCAAGTAGTGTGCACACAGTCAGAATCTGCTGGCTGAGTGAAGAAATCCTCTGTTCATCTGGCTTGAGTCGAGTCCACTTTCTTCATTTTTCACTTGACTCACCTTTAGAGGACTTTAGTGTCCAGGCTGGAAGTGATTAGGAAAAAAACTGATCATTTAAAACTTAAGAAGTCTGTTTACTCAATTAAAAAAAAAGAGACATAAAAAGTAACTTGTTTTGGTAACACTTTTAATGCAGCTTAATTTATATGTAATACTTTTTTTTCAGCTGAATAAATAAATAAACTCCAAACCTTTTTCCTTATCTATAATGTAATTTGATTGGTAGAAATGGGTACATTAGCAAGAATTTATCTCACAGATTATATTAAAACAAGGGAGCCTCCTTTGCTCCAGCAGTTATGCAGCCTGCCAGTGTTTTCGGTTTTTGTTTATTTTGGATAAATGCTCTTATTAAGCTAGCTGATGCCAGGGGAAAATACAAAACTTGTATGGGAAAGCAAATATATTTTTGTGCAGCACCAGAGTCTATGAGCCAGCAGATACACCGGGGTACTTTGATGGACACGTGTGGCCTATGTATCTGAAATATAAAAGTGAACTGGAGGAGAATGCAGGTAACATCGGTATGGTATCCTTAATTTTAAACTTATAAAATGCTTAAGCGTGGCACTTGAGGAGTTTTTGTTGGGTTGTAGGTTTTTCTTGAGCAGGACAAAGTTTTCTTCAGATGTTTTTGTGGCACTTGGGCAGTGGGCTTGGGCCTTTTGTTGGTTTATTTTTCAAGTGTATAGGTTTTTTTTAAATAATATAAAGTTAAAAAATAAAAACGTTCTCATCACTAATTAAGTCCATTTAACAAGCTAGTTTGTGTGTGCATACATGCATATGACTAAATGGGCAGCTTCTGAGACGATAGGTGATGCACTGACAGAATTCTTCCTGGCTGAAGTCCTCTAACAGGCTGCAGATACTTCCTAGGTGCTGACTGAAGACACTACAGTCACTAGTCTTGCATGAGAGGTGCCAGAGCTGGGCCAGCTCCTGGGGCGCTGCCATGAGCTCGTGTGACGTTCATACTTGCACAGCTCTTGGATGCCTGCTTGTGGAGTGGGCACCCGAGGAAGGAGAAGTCAGGTGGCTGCTTCGTCAGCACACTGCTTCTTACTGTGCCCTGAGAATGGAAACTGCAGCACCCTGCCTTGGCTTGCTCAAACCCTGAAGCTGAGGGGGAACCTGAGGTCGCCCACTACACAGGAACCTTTCTGCTGAATCATTCCACTGAACTGCTGTCCTAACATTATTACCGCGACCCTTACGGAGATTTCTATACCACCAAAAAATGTATATTGTTTTTTAACCAGAATACTTTTGCATTATGTTATTTTTTTAACATGTAAAATGAATTTGGGAAAGAAGAAAGGGGAGGTACTGTTCTTGGTTTTTATTTTTTCCTCTACCTATAGGAACACTGAAAATTTTGCTAATTGCTATTACAGGTAACTGGCACAGAACAGAAGAAAATTTTTTCTTTTGTCTTTTTTAGTTTATTTGGATGGAACAAAATCCCAGGAGGAGCTTTTATCCTGTGTGTATAGTGATATAATGCAGGAATTGAAAAAACTAAGAGAAGGAAGTAAGTAATGTTACAGGAAATCAAGTCTGCTTATCCTGTTGCAAGTTAACAAGAAGCTCTAATCCTTTTATATTAAAATACTGCAAGGATTATATAGATCTGCATTTCCTTATGGATTATAATCCTTATACATGTTTGCCCATTACTCTAAGTCATCATAGGCTATGACTTCCAAGTTCCTTGAAATTGGATGTTCTTAAATAATACGTGGATCAACTGTCATCAGATGATAAAATAATAATAAAAAAGGGGCAACAGAAGCAATATGGGACAAAATGTCAGTGAAAGCAGGTGTGTTGGTCATATTAGTTTCTAGGATACAGTGATGTCATGTGCAAACAGAGAAATGATGCTACAGGTTAAATGTGTACTATTTATATTTTAGATCAGCAGGTCACAGCATGATAATGTAGAAAGCCTGGTTTCCGTTTGGTACGAATCGAAAACCCCAAGCCTTGTCAAGCCAGCCAACTGACCAGATGTTACATCTATGTCCATAATACTAGTTCATACAACACAAGTGGATTTGTAATGACTGTTAACTCTGTAAACTATTGATAAGATGCTGAGTAGTGTTGACAGTGCATTCCTTAGAATTCCTTTAAATCAGTCATGCTTTGGTTGATCTTTAAATCTGATTGAATATATACATTTTAAATAATAGAAACATATTTTTGTATGTAAAACTAAACTATAAAGAGGCAGTTCTGTTGGATTAATAAGATATTAATAAGATATTTGAACACAGAATTACAGAAACATAGAATCACTATGGTTGGAACGGACCTCTAGGATCATCAAGTCCAACCTTCATCCCAAGATTTCCCTAACCACTAGACCATAGCCTCAAGTGCTACATCTGCTTGTTTCTTAAATACCTCCAGGAACGATGACCACCTCCTTGGGCAGCCTGTTCCAGTGTCTCACCATTCTCTCAGTAAAGAAATTCTTCCTAATACCCAATTGAAACCTCCCCTGGTGCAACTTGAGGCCGTTTCCTCTCGTCCTATCATTAGTAATTTGGGAGAAGAGACCAACACCAGCCTCACTACAACCTCCTTTTAGGTAGTTGTAGAGACCAATAAGGTCACTCTCAGTCTTCTCCAGACTACACAACCCCAGTCCCCTCAGCCAGTCCTCATAAGGCATGTTTCCCAGACCTCTCACCAGCCTCGCTGGCCATTCTCTGGACCTGCTCCAGCACCTCCATGTCCTTATCCTGTAGTGCCCAAAACTGGACACAGTACTCTGAAATGTTCATCTAGGAATGACAGGGATTACCTTCAATATTCTTGTGAGCTTCTAATGAGGAATAGGCATGGCTAGAGGAACTAGCTGCGTGCTGTGGCAATGATAAGTTTAAGACTGTACAGTCTGTTACACTGCTTATGCAATAACTGAAGCTGTTATTGAATACATCATGACTGAACTGAGACTTGCTAAATACCTCTGTGGTGCTTGGCAAGTAATTTTTATGTTGTGTATTGGTTGGAGCAGTTGGGAATGGATACTTAAAAAAACCCAAACAAACCTGAAGTCAGGTTGTTGGAAAAAGATGATGTAATAAGGTGTCAAAGAGAATGCAGGTACATGTCTAACAAGTACATGTATTGTGGAGAGATCGCAGATTGGGGTCGTACAGACTACTAGACAATAAATGCATGCTTCAGGAAGGAGGAAGGGAAAAATAATTCTTAATAATTTTCATAGCTCCAGTTGAAGTTATCGTGGTGAAAGTGTTCAGAAAGCAGGTATGCTAGATGTATGTTAGAACTTTGTTATAGGATTTCTGTGTATACATTTAGATAAACTAAGAAACTGGGAAGTTCCATCATATTTGGTTGCTGAATAAGTGATGTATTAACTTAAATTTTCTATACAATATCTTACTTTTTTTTCTCAGCCAGAATAAAAATGAATTTACAGACTTGAAAAGCAAAGGACAGACTGTTTCTTATTATGTGTCAGCTGAACTGATCAACTGATCACAGTGATTGAAATAGAATGCTTTGTTAATAGTATTAAAAGTCCTAAACCTTATATAAATCTTATGTAAAAAAGTATATAAGAAAAAGGTCTTAAACGGATGAGAGCAGTGTATAGTTGTGCTTAAGACAGAATGCTTCTAAATACTATTTTGTATTATTATTTTGCAGTAAAAATACTTCAAGCTGCATTTGCTCAAATATAGCAATGGACTGTCTAAACTGTGGTTTTGTTTTTATTTCCCTTTGGAAGGGGTGCAGCTGTGCGAGATGAGCTAATACTTGCATGGTTGTGGTGGATTGACCTCAGCTAGCCATCAGATGCCCACCAAGCCTCACTCTCCCTCCTCTACTGGACAGGGGAAAAAGATACATGAGAGGCTTGTGAGTTCAAGATAAGGACAAAGATACCACTCAGCTTGACTTGGGAAAATTAATTTATTGCCAATTAAATCAGAGCAGAATAATGAGAAACAAGAACAAATCTTCTTACACCTGCTCCCTCCCCCTCCCTCCTTTCCAGGCTCAACTTCACTCCTGATTTCTCTACTTTCTCCCCTTCGAGCAGTGCAGGGAAACAGGGAATGGGGTTTGTGGTCTGCTCATCACATGCTGTCTCTGCCACCGAAGTGATCAAGGGAATTAAGCAGCAGCTTTGTGAGGAGAGACTAAAAATGGTGGGACCATTCACTCTAGAGAGAAGACTGAGGGGAAAAAGGTTAATGTTTACAAAATCTTGAAAGCTGTGAGTCCAGTGGATGCAGAACTAACATTCACCAAATAGTACAAATACCAGTACAAATACTAGTTTAGGGGACACTCTATCTTTTGAAACAGACGGTCTGCATGAAGGTAGACTGTACTTCACACAGCCGACAGTAAGCTTATGAGATTTAATGCCATAGGAGGTAGACAGTACCAGCAAATTCAAAAGGGATTGGGAAGATTGAGTGACACCATGCCCATAAGCAGTAGTGAAAGAAGCAGGCAGGGCCAGACCATGGATGCACTCTGGAAACTGGGCAGGTTTACCTATGGTGCCCTAAATTTTGTGTCCTCTTGCCAGCTGCTACACAACTCACCTTAGTGAGAAAAGACAGTGAACTCTTCAGAGTCGCTTTGGGAGATTAAAGTATTTCAGGTGCCGTTATAAAAGCTCAAGCTCTCATAACAAGCTCCCTTTTTTAGAGCTCCCCTGCAATGTTGGTGTGTTGGTAGAATACTTTTGCTTTGAAGGTGGAGCAGCCCTGACAGGAAAAATCTGTTTTGGCCCTGGCAGGTGCTGTCTGACTGCCTGGGCTGCACTAGATGTAAAGTGGTTGGGGTGACAGCTGCAGGACAGGAGCCTGGAGCCTGTGGTTGTTTTTTTGAATAAAAGGATGGGTTTTTCTGGAAATGGTGTCACCCACTGACTGCAACTTCAGGCTGTCATAGCTGAACGAAAACTTTTACTAAGTGTCTTGCACATGTTTAGCCAGATGAGATAGAAGTGGTTTTGTTCTATAGAAGGCTGATGTCTTATACATAAGAAGCACAGAAATGGAAGTTTAGGATTAGTTTTACTCCAAGAAGCTGATGTTTTCATGATGTTAAAATACAAGAACATGACAAGGTAGTAGTCAAAGTTTGTTCCTACTACATCACTGTTTATGTCACAAAGCTATTGCTTCTGCTCTAACCTTCAGAGTTTTTAAATCTGAATTTCTAACTGTTTACAGTGCATATCCATGATTCAAGTACTGGTTTTGTCATGTACATGGTGTTTCCTACTTTACAAAACCACTTCATATGCTCTTGGGAACAGTGACTTTTGTCCATGCGACTAGGAATGACATCTGCGCTTTCTCTCCAGCACTGCCACTGAACACTTTTGTAGTCAAAACTGTTCAGTCACTTAATGTAGTTGCAGCAAAGCAAGACAAGTGTGAGAGTAAAGAAAACTGGAAAATATTAAGACTAAAGTGAGAGTGCTCATTAGGAGACCGATGCTTCTATTTCCCACAGAGAGGTTAGTGTGCCAAAAACCTTCTGATCTGTTGCCACTGTGTTACTTGGTTTACTAAAGAAGACTACAATTTCCTGCATGTCTTCAGACAGTGACGTGTGACAGTGCTCTTCGGTTCTCAAACTCTCAAAAAAGGGAGAGCATCAGCCCCTACAAAGGAGAGCCTCAGGTACAAGCTGCCTCCTCTCAAAGCAAGTTGGAAAGACATATGGTTTGCTGCAGGACACACAGAGGGTGTTGGCACCTGGTCAAACCTGGTGTTGGCAGGTGGAGGAGTGTCTTGGTATAAGCTAGAACAGAACTAATTCTCTTCAGTGATTTTTGTTTTCAGCTAAGTCTTCTAACTAACTGTACTGTCTGAAGTTAGCGGCGTATTTTCACAGCGTCTGCTTCTAGCAATGGTAACATTCCATGTTTAGAGTTACTAGAAAGGACTGGTATGCAGATCAAGGTCACTGCTAAATCTTGTGTACCGTGCTGGGGTGCTGTACAGAAAGAGGTTGCTCTTTTGGAGAGGAGCAGACAGGACAGGTGACCTGAAACCGACCAATGAGGGATTCTATCCCATGTCCATCGTGTTCAGTACAAAGCTGAGGGATTGCAAGGGTGGAGCTCTCTGCTTCAATGGCCAGCATCCAAAAGGAGGACTCTGCCCATTCTGCCTTTGATCCTGATCTGCCTGTTTCTGAATCCAGTTTCAGAATCCAGCTTCTCAATCTGGTTCTTGTTGCCGCCAAGTCCAGTCTGGGACATCCTCAGTGCCTCCTAACAGCATCTGTGGTGACACTGATGTAATTGCCATTTGAG